TGTAAATGGTCTTTACAAATTTATTTGTGAGAAATTGGAGAGTATGAAAAGTTCATTTTTTTTTTAATTAATGCGCAAAACAAATTAGCTGTAAATAATGATCTACGCAGTGCATCTTAGAGTACGATTCAGTAAAAATCTAAACAAAATAACAGACGCAAAAAAAGTTAATTCCAAAATAGTGATAATGATGATGATATTTAAAAAAAAAATGCGAGTTTTGCGGATGTTGTAAAAATACATGGTACAAGTAAAAATATTAGTAACAGTAACAGTAACAAACCGAAAGAGTCCAAACAAGCTTGCGAAGATACTCGTAAGTTTTTGGAAACACAATTGGATCCAAAAACAGACAAAATCAGTAATTTAAGGAATGGTAAAGATGGCTCTATTATTGTTGGGTGTGCAACAGGAGCTAATCTAAATGATGTGAAAAATGGTATTGAAAGCTATCTGGGTGAAAACTGTAGTGCTGTTGTTCCCACTTCGGTGCCAAGATTGAAAATAGTGAGCATGAGCAATCAATATTCCTCCGATGTCTTCATTGACTAATTGAAAAGTCAAAATGAAGACACCGCAGTACAAGCTTGAAAATCCACGCTTCACTTACAACAAGTTTAGTGTTTTGTTTGAAAAAGTAAATGTAGGGTTTAATAGGTCCCGCGATTCTTGTGTTGAGATGCTTCAAATGTGGAGAATTTCGGCACAAGACCAAGGATTGCAAAAAATGTGACAACACAAAATGTCGGAGTGCACGTCAACTGTATTGAAATGTGTCAATTGTTTGAAAATGAATAAAGAACGTAAAATGGACTTGGACGTCAACCATGCCACATTTAGCTCAGAATGTTTGCTATATAAAAGACTTTTGATTGATCAGCATCAAAACAACAGCAAAGAGTTATGGAACATTTGTAAATCTTTATTAAAACCTAGTAATTGCAAACCGCGGTCCATAACTTTTAATGGCACATTAGAACAGTCAGAACAAGTAATTGCATCTAAGTTATAGATTATTTTGTCGAAACTTTTTTATTGAATTGGTCGATGAACTTGACGAAATAAAGCAGCCAGTTAATAGTAGTTGTAGATCTGAGGGTTTTCACCCAATTACATTAGATGAACTTAGAGTTATTTACTTTTCACTAGGAAAATCGGCTGGAGTAGACAATGTTAATGCTAGAGTTCTTCAAGATTGCTTTCATGTCATTGGCCAAATCTTACTGGAACTTATCATTAATCATTGCAGACTGGACGTGCCCCTTACATTTGGAAGGAATCCTAGTCAAAAAGTTGCTGGAACGATTAAAGCCGAAGAGTTTCGTCCCATCAACATGTTGCAGACATTAGTGAAAATGTGAATGAACTTGTTGTTAAAGGTCAGCTGTTGGAGTATTTGAATAGCAAATCTTTGTTGAAACCAGAACAATCAGGATATCGGGAAGGTCTTTCTTGTGAAACTGCGTTGAATTTGGTGTTAGCAAAGTGGAAAGACAACTTGGAGCGTAAAGATATGACTGTTGCTGTTTTTTTTTTGTATCTGAAACGCGCTTTTGAAACAATGTCTAGGCCCTTATTGTTAAGTACAATCAAGCGCTTTGGAGTTACGAGTACTGCATATAAATGGTTTGAAAGCTATTTGTATGACAGGCCTCAACGGACTGTTTTTAATGATTCTGTTTTAAGTCCCGCGGGGAATAACCTTGGAGTGCCCCAGGGAAGTGTATTAGGGCCCCTTTTATTTATCATGTACACACTTTGAAAAAATCATGTAAATTTAGGTGCTCTGAGAATGACATATACGAGCGTCAATTTTGACATACAATTGAGTCATTATAGACGAGAAATTTTGCAAAATCAAACGTACTTTTCGTCTCATCTTTTGTGTCAAAGATGGATTCCGTCACGGGTAAAATTAAGTATTTCTAAGTGTGTATATTAGTGTTATTCATTGCAGTTAAGTATTTAGACGATGCTGTTTTACACTTAAATGAAGATTTACGTTCTCTAAGCACATGCTTGAAGTATAAGCAGTTGAATTTGAATACAAGTAAAACTAAATTCTGCCTACTTCCGGAAAGTGTAAAAACAGTGTTTTGTTTCAAAAACTCCGCATCGATCCTTCTCAAACTCCGTTGCCAGTTATCATCAATTATTAAACGTGCAAATGCAACCTTGTTTGCGTTGTTGCCACTCAAAACCACGTATACCTGTTGCAGATAGTAACCGCGGGCACCAACAGGTTTACTAACGCAGGAACATTGTAGGCATATCTCTAGAATGGATTAAACACGAGAAAGGTGGCACCTGCGGCAAATTACTAATCAATCATAGAGCGATCGATTTCAGTAAGTCGCGTTCATATTGATCAAGTTCTGCTTTTTCAGCAAGACAGCGTAACACATCATTAGAATAGTGTTACTTTTATAAGGAACGTGCTCAGTGCATTAAAATACTGTTGTCATGAAAATGACATCGCTCGTTTGGGTGCAGTCCAATCGAACGGATACACTTGACCAACAAGTTACGGCGCGCTTTCGGATACTTCAAACGATGGAAACCGCCCAAACGATCACTAACTAACAGCTAGTTTGAACCAGATCGACGGCATTTCGATCACTGCAAGGATTGACACGACTACCATGCGCCACCCTCCTGTTGTTGAATATCCGATGCGGATAACAGCGAGACCGGGGGGTGCACAAATGGTTGCAATTTTTGAACCAATCAAAAATGTCACTAACGGCCCTCCTGGGCGAAAACATTCAAAACACAAATCAGTCACAGCGTGTGGTGTTTGCGCCTAGGGGAAACACGATGCATACCTGCCTGCCTGCCTATAAATACCTGCTCTCTGGGGGGACAAAACACAGATTACTACCATGTTCAAGGTGTTCAACTAATTTTCAGTTTTCAACAGTGACCACCATGCACCGGCGGCCACCACAGCACCGCTACTGACACTCACTCCAGCTACGGCTACACCGTCGTCGTCGTCGTCGTTGACGTTGGTGTTGTTGTCGCGCAGCACACGAATCATGTGTGCAGGGCAATGGCGTAGCGAGGAGATCGGGACTAATCTTCGCTGGAAGTTCTCAGAGTGAAGGAATTTCTTGAAATGCTAAGAATTTGATCGAGTTCCAGAAGATCCCAGGGTTCTATGAGTTCTTGTGATTCTTAATGACTCGAGAGTTCATGGGAGTATTTTTTTTCTGGAGTATTAAAGGCTTGGAGTTCCCTTGAGTCCTTGAAGATCCAGAAGTACCGAAAGTTTTCACAGATCTTGAAGTTGTCTGAAGATTATGAATCGTTCTGAAGGACCAAAATCTGCAGAAGTTTCTGGAATGTCGGTGGGTTTCAATGCTTCGGAAGTTCTGAGTGATCTAGCAGTCATTGGAAAGCTCTCAATTTGTAAGAATCATAAGGAGTTGTCCAAAAATAACAGGAACAAAAGGACGAATGAAATTCAATTGGACAAATCGAAAAATCAGAAACTTATAGACACATAAAATCTGAACGATAATCGGAAAAGCAGAACATAAGAAATTCACAAAATCATAAAATAAAAAATCGAAAAAATATGAAAATCAGGGAATCAGGGAATAAAAAAAAAACTACAAATCAAGACATCTACAAATTGAAGGAAAAATAACAGAAAATAATGAAATCTACATATCTAAGAAGAAGAAAAATAGAACATTAGGAAATCTACAAATTGAAAATTAAACAAAAAATCGGAAAGTCAAACATGAAAATCATGAAATCAGAAAAAAAGGAAAATGTATCAAATCGAAAAAAATGAGGACGAACTGAACGTCAGTTGCACACAACATAGAAAATCGAACAGTCATAAAATTATAAAATGTAAAAAAATAGAAGAAAACAGACAGACTACAAAAAAAATAAGATAATTAGAAAATCAGACAACCAAAAACTGAGTAGATCAGATAATCAGAATATCAAAAAACTATGAAAGTCAGAAAATCAACACAATAGACGTAAAAAACATACGAGAATCGGATAAACAGACAATCCAAAAATAAGAAAATAAAACAGATTTAAAATTCATAAAATCACAAAATCTTAAAATCGAAGCATCGAAGTATTTTAAAATCACAAAATCCAAGAGTTATTTAACAATGTTCAATGAAAAGAACTGTTTATACCATATCTTAAAAGATCCTCCCTCCACCCTTCCTACGCCACCTTGCGGCCGAAGTTTTCAAACTCGTCGAGAGTTTTGCATCTCACTCGCTTTTACCCGCTGCGCGGCGGTGTGTCTCTCTTTTCCCTCACCAACCATCCAACCATCGTCCACCCCTCCCGCCCCCATCGGCTGCCTCTGTATTATTGTCATACTCAAATGAACCTACCTACGGTCGTCTGCAGAGAGCAGAGCAGAGCAAGGAGCCCTATGCGACGGTGGATGCGCGGTCGGTGGCGTTAGAAGTACGTGTTAGTCTCGATTTAGCCACGGCAGCCGTCAGTCACACTCCACACAGCCTGTTTGAGCGGTGTGAGCGCGCGCGCACTACTGGGTGAAAGACAAATATCTACTCTTCGGCCGGCGGCGGTGGAACCAACAGAAGAAAAAAAAGGTAGTGAAAAGAGGCAGTTAGCAGCCGGTCCGAGATCCCTTCTATCGTCGTCGGGAGGTGTGGTGTAGTGTCCGCGCTGCGCGTTCAAGGTCACCACGACGGCGGCGATGATGATGATGATGATGATGATGGTTGTGTTATGAGCGTTGTCGTTTGCCGTTTAGTGGGACTTTTGATGGCAGTTTATGTTTTGACAAATTCCGAAAAGGCGTTGTCCAGCGAATACTGATTAGCACCCATTTATCATGCCCCCTTGTTGTGGTGTTTGAAATTCTCACGTCGATAAATCTCGCTGCCGTGTAAATTAATCACCCACGAAAAAGTCAAATGCGCTAGAAGAGACGAACGCCGAACGTGGCCGCATTCACTGATCGAAGTCTCTTGTCTTACGTTTCTTTGCAGGTTGAACAGTTCATGATCGTAGTTCTGCAGACAACCGACAGTGCAGCAGCTTCAGGACATCGCTGCAGCGTAAAGCATTTCCAATGAATGAACCAAGTCCGGTGTCCGAAGAGAAAGAACCCAAACGGAAGCCCAAATCTAGTGCAGTGCAAACGAAGCTTTAGTGTGATCGAAACGAAGAAGAATATACCTGTATAGTGTGCCTTAGAAGTCTGAGATAAATCAACGAATCATACAAAATCCAATACAAAATGTATCCACCGATCTTAGTGTTAGTGTTAGCGTTAGTGACCTTCTCGAAGCAGACGCTCTCGCTGGAGACGCTGCTCCAGCTGGATGCCACCGACGACGGTGACTTCGAAACCGCTGGAGGTGGTGATTTTTCTAGTCCACTCTACGACGAAGAAAGCTATGGTCCGGACCCGGAAGAGGATCGTAACCTTAACAACTATCAAGAGCCAGCGATACTGTTGGACGACGTTTACTACCGAGTAACGCCCGACAGTCAAGAAAGTGAAAAGACTTCAGTTAGCAGCAGCAGTAGCAGCAGCAGTAGTAGTAGTAGTAGTAGTAGTACAAGCAGTACGACTACGGCTACCAATAGTATCCAACCAGGATCGAGTGAAGAACAGCTGTCCGCTACGGATCGTAGTGCCAGTACGGTGTGGAGCAATAGTTCCGAAGATCACATTCCCGACAGTGAAGACAAAGTTAGTGTCGCCCTGCCGTATATCGGTGAAGACCCGCAGGAACCGTCCAACCGTAGTCGTAGCTTGGATCACGATACAGCCGATTCCCTGCAGTCGTCGACGGTACTGGAAACCAGTCTGGCCAGTAATTTCCTGTACACCAGTAGCAACTACAACGACAGCTACCGTAGTAGCGCGGATGACAGTGCCGAGAAGACATCGGACGATTCGTTGGACAGCAGCGTGGAAGATGATCCGCAGTCGCTAGCGACTACGACGGCCATTTCCCCGCTGGCTATTCCGGACGATGTGTCGTCGATCACACCGACCAAGCCGCACGTTGTTGAGAGCAAAAAATCCAACACGGAACAGCTGTCGGAGAAGCTCGCAGACAAGAACCTCCGGTTGCCGATTGCCATCCTGATGGATACCTGCAACGAATCGCTGAGCTACTCGAAGAAGGTGTTCGACGCGGCCCTCGTACCGAGAAGCCCGCTGGAGGTGATTCTGATGCGGTACAATAACACTGGTAAGTGGACTTACTTTGACACACAACATTTGCTGGGGGAGCTTCGGAACCAAGAGCGCAATGTTTGGGTTGGTCGTAGAATATTACATGATTCTGAAATTTGTGCATTAGAATCGATATTCGCAGTGAATTCCAAAAACTGAAACATGATAACAAGAATTTGACAATTTCAAGACCAACAATTGAAAAGGCCTCAACTGCATTTTGTAAACTTAGATTCGCAAAGCTAAAACACAATCGAGTAGAGGAGAATTTCCCCCACCTGTTCATTTTGTTGGTTTGGGTTGGCGGACTTCGTTCGCCATACAAGGTGTGTTTGCAAAAATGGAGTTGAGACCTTTTCAATTGTTGGTCTTGTTTTCATTGAAATGGGTTAGGTGGGATAAGAGATTAACATATGGGTAAATCCAACTCATCAAAAACACGCTCACGTATCATGAATTTCAATGGATTTTTAAAGTTTGAGACATTACGAGAAATGGAACAGCGATTAAATGGAATAGCAAGAGTTAAACCCTCTTTGGGGCTGTTCAAAAGCTACATAAGATATCTTAGGGAGGGCGAGATTGCATTATGAGACGTACTCAACCTTTATATATTCCGCATGGCATATTTAAGATCATGCCCAAGTAACATTGCAAGTCTTATAGACGTTTTATAGCATTCTACAAGTATGAATCGTGGTCTACAGAAGCCTCATAAAACCAAAATTGTTACTTGGGTATTAACAGCCTATTTTAGGGCCAATTCAGCATTTTTAAAGTTCATTGCAGGACTGGTAACAGGTGAATTTTTAGTGGCTAGGTCACTATTTTTAAGTCAGTCACTAGTCACAGGTTATCCGGAAAACCAGGATATGGCCACTTACCCATAGATATAAATTCCTTATTAAATTCGCTCTGAATTTCGAGATATGGTCACTTTACTCCAAAATATAAAATCCTTATTAAATTCGCTTTCATCTCGTTATTCAGAACAATATAGAAATAAATAGAAAGGATCTAGGACATTTTTTATAATGTGGCCACTTCATCGGTCAATCCGAAGTATACAGAGAATCAGATATGGCCACTATATTCCAAAATATCTATTCCATGTTAAATATGCTTTGATCTCATGATTCTGAACGACATAGAAAAAACCCGCAAGCATCTGGGACAATTTTTATAATGTGGCCACTTTATCGGTCAATCCGGATTATCCGCAGAACCAGGATATGGCCACTTTACCCCAAATTATAGTGTCCATATTAAATACGCTTTCATCTCGTTATTCTGAACAATATATAAAAAATCGCAAGGTTCTAGGTCAAATTTTATAATGTGGCCACTTTATCGGTCGTTCCGGATCCTCCTTTGGGCTAGTAAAGGTTCCCTGAGGGCGTATATGGTGTCGTTACTCCATATATACTCAGTACTATCAATTTTCAGTAATATACGTAAAGTAAGATGTAAAACTATGTCGATAGATAGTGGCATTTCGTACTTTACGGGGATCTCGGGTTGATCCCGGTCCTCTATCTTGGCAGGCAAAAGTCTCCGACCACCAATCGATTCAGCAGAGGTATTCCTTTAAGAAAATATATAACATGTTGACTGCAAAACGGAGCCGAGATATTCAATTTAGTCGCGGTTGTGCCAATTTTTGCCCACTGTGGACTGTTTCTAGTTCGAGAGAAATAACTTCGACATGCCTCAGGGAAATGTATTGGGGCTTCCTTTTATTGATGATGTACATCAATAATATACGACGCATTTAACGATTTTGTAATATCTTTTGGCCGATGACTGATTGCTTTAATTTGAAAGATGTCACTTTATGCATTGTTAAATGTCCTTATTCTGGAGGCTGCTATAGGGATTATGATTGGGGTTTCCTGATCGATGGGAATGTTTTCGAATATTTGTGGTTGAACGGCCTTTTCACACTTATGTCACTACGTGAAGCGAGGAAATTTTTACCTATAAATGAAATCAATTTAAATTTTTGCAAACCTAGTTTAAATGTATTGATTAAATATCTTTTCGATGAATCATCCAGCTAAATCCTTTGTAGAGGTAATCAAACATCATCAAACATTTTTGAATAAGAATATCCTCATTTCAGGTCAAACATTCTTTTCTTTTATTATTTCATTTAATGGTCTTTCAGCCTTAAATTTCTTATTGTTCTGTTTGAATGTTGCGTGTGATGATTCTCAGGTTATCTGAGTATTTGCCATAGATTATATTATTTGGACAGAATTAAGAGAAGTATGCACCGCAAGAAGTGTGTAACTTAACTTAACTTAACTTAACAATCAAACTAGACATTTTGAATACATTAGAAGACATTGCTTAGACCAAATCTCTAAACGAAGACAATATATCAAGAAGACTGGCAACTCTCAAGCTAAGTTATACAAATGCCAAAAAATCTAAAATCCTATCTAAACACATCACCATCTATCTCTTAATGGTCCAAACGGCATGTGGGTGAAAGCGGAACGGAAACGGCAAGTTTGACAGTTGTCACAAATGACATCAAGATGCCTAACCGATTTCGATTTGGTTCCAACTATTTTTTCAATCCGAAGAGTAGGCTTACTAAGATCGGGCTGTTCCGCTGCCGTTCCGCTTCCACTGTCATTGCGCTTGAGCCTGAAACGTAAACGCTCCACGAATTTGATGGCAAAGATGACATCCTCGAAAGAGAGTCCTAGGTATTAGCTCATTATTCTATCCGGTGGTTTAAGCTAAGCTGATGATGATGATGATAATGATGATGGTCCCACCTCTTACCCTTACAAAGGTTTGAGCGATTTATCTTTAAGATAATTAAATATGACATTTTAACCAGGTTAGCAAACAAAATCGAACTGGTTTCAGTTACAGATATAAGTACTTGTTTTTATTATTTTAAATTTTCTCTTCGGCAATGAGACCAATCGAACATCCGGGGCAGCTTCAGTTGCCGGCAACTTATTGCCCCGATAGCAAAACGATCGACTGGACATCCGGACCGGTGTTCCTACCGAAAAGCGTACGACTTAATCTTCTTCGTCTTCATCGGCACCTCCGCCGCTGCTTTGTCCCTTCTTCATGTTCTTCCTCTTGACGCGACCAGGACGGCCACCACCGGAGGGCGACTTGAGCGAGAAGTCGATATGCTTCTAAGAATCCAAACGGACGACGAACGACGGAATGTTCACGACCTGCTTGCTGACGCGGATGTGTCTCTGACGGATCAGAACGCGAGCGTGATGGTAGGACTTGGCCAATCCCAGCTTGAACATCTGAGTCTGCAGACGACGTTCCAAGAAATCCTCAATCTTTAGACCGATAGCGTAATCGAGTTTCATTCATCCAACACTCCGGGATTCATCCAACACTCCTATACGGACCAGACGACGCAGGAGAGCGCTACCGTAGAATATACGCTTCTCGTCCTTCTCCTCGAGGGTGAGCAGCTCACGGGCAGCCTTACGGATCTTGGCCAGGGTGTACTTGACGCGCCAGACCTCACGCTTGTTTCGCAGACCCTACTGGCCAATAATTTTCAATTCCGCATCGTGACGGGGCTTTTCGAACGGACGACGCGGAGTCACATAGGTCTTGGAGAAGACCGACGGGATACGATGGTTTACCATGTTGCCTTAGCACCTTAGCTCGTCCACTATGCGTGTTACTTTGTCAAAATTCGACAATGAAGAGATGTTTACCCAAGTTTTATGGAGGTTTTAAAACATGCTACAATTCTAAATTATGGTCTACAGAACCCTTATAAAACCGAAATTGTTACTTGGGTAATGTTGATAAATAAGTATAGCCTTTTGAGTCAAATGAGTGTTAAGAAGAATTGAAGTCCTCTACAATTCACTCTTTTTAGAAATTCTGAGGACAGTTCTCAAGGAATTTGACTAGAACTAATTTTAAGAAGCATTTCAAGAAAATTGTCAGGAGAACTAAAGGTGGATTCCAAGGTAGATCTGAAGATATCCTAATCTAGATTATGAGTAGAATTCCAGGGAATTCAAAAGCAACTCTGAAGGAACTTCGACAAACTTAATGATTATATGGCTAAAGGGTGATACGGTCAAAATTTGGTCAAGGGAAAACGCGTGTAAATCGGTGAAATCGTTTATTTAAAAAATCAAATTAAATTTCTTTTTCAAGTTCAATTAGTATAAAATTCAGGAAAAATATTCAGTTAGGCTTCCGCTTTTCCAAATCCGAATTGAAGGGCCTTACGCTTGACCCCTGCCATCAGATTTTGTACAGCCACCTTGTCCACCTTCTTCGCCGCAGAAAGCCAGTTTGCCTTGAACTGCTGCTCGCCCTTAGCAGTTTTTTTGGTCTTCTTTAGGTTCCGCTTGACAATAGCCCAGTATTTCTCAATTGGGCGGAGCTCTGGCGTGTTGGGAGGGTTCTTGTCCTTGGGAACCACCTGCACGTTGTTGGCGGCGTACCACTCCATGGCCTTTTTACCGTAATGGCAAGATGCCAAATCCGGCCAAAACAGTACGGAACAACCGTGTTTCTTCAGGAAAGGCAGCAGACGTTTATGCAAACACTCTTTCACGTAAATTTCTTGGTTGACAGTCCCGGAAGCTATGAAAATGCTGCTTTTCAAGCCACAGGTACAGATGGCTTGCCAAACCAGATATTTCTTTGCGAACTTTGACAGTTTCATGTGCTTGAAAACATCTGCTACCTTTCCCCTTCCTTTTGCCGTATAAAACTCCTGTCCCGGAAGCTGCTTGTAGTCGGCTTTGACGTAGGTTTCGTCGTCCATTACCACGCAGTCAAACTTCGTCAGCATCGTCGTGTACAGCCTCCGAGATCGCGCTTTGGCCGTCGTATTTTGTTTATCATCGCGATTTGGAGTCACTACCTTCTTGTAAGTCGATAGTCCAGCTCGTTTTTTGGCTCGATGCACGGTTGTAGACGATACATCCAGCTTATTTGCGGCATCTCGGAGAGAGAGGTTAGGGTTTCGCTTGAAACTACCGGCAACTCTCT